CTCTGCCACCTCTCTCCTTTTCACACTCTGCCACCCTTTCAAACTCTGTTATTCCCCTTCCACACTATGTCCCTCCCTTCCACAATCTGTCAGCCCCCTCCATACTCTGTCATCCCCCTCCACGCACACACTGTCACCCCCCTCCACACATACACTGTCACCCCCCTCCACACATCCTTCACCACTCCCCACACACACTGTCGCCCCCTTAATCCTGCCACACTCACATTAACCCATTCGGATACTGTCACACTCACCCCCTCCAACCAAACCACACTGAATTCCCTCATTCGGCCACACCCACCCTATCACATTACCCCCCCTAATCCTGTTACACTCAACTTTTCTCTCACTGTCACACTCCCTCCTCCAACCGTGCTACACTCACCTCCAACCCTGCCACACTCATCCTGTCAATTCACCTTAATCATGTCACATTCACCAACGCTTGCCCTATCACACTCACTCCTCTAACAATGCCACATTCACCCCAACCCTGTGATACACACCTCCCCAACCATGCCATATTCACCCTGTCACATTAACAATTAAACCTGTCATGCTTACCTCCCCTCACCCTGTAACACTCCATATTTCAACCATGTCACACTTCCCCTCCCTTATTTTGTCACACTAACCCCTCCACACTGGTATTTATGTATACACGACTGCCAGGCTGTACAACCATATCCAGCAATCGTGTATAAATGATTAGCATGATTGTAAATTAAATTAGATTATTGCATACTATGCCATAGCTACAGTCAAATAGCTCACTACGCAGCAGCATAGGGAGTCGTGACAATGCAAACCTCTAAAGATGAATACAGAGACTACCTCTCTGCCTGCCATTTAATATACCTACAGCTTCTTATAAACACGCTAATGGGCCTCATGTTTGAGTTTCGCCTAAGGCCTCGCAAAGTCTAGAGCTGCCCCTGCTGGTCATATTGTATTATTGTGTGTCGTCTACACACACTGAAGCATGACTTTCAATGCCTATTTCAAGATCATTTATAAATACTTTGAATAAAAGCAGTCCCAGAACAGAACCCTGAGAGACACTGTTGTCCAGCTTGAAAATTTACCATTAATGACAACTCTCTCTCTACTCATAACAACTCTATGTAATCAAGCATAAATAAACTGCTTTGTGATGACTACTGATTTAGTGTAATTTTTATTTATGGAAGATACCTTGCTGATCTTTTGCAGAAAATGAATGTTCTCCTTTTCTATTTGAGCTTCTCCCTACTATGCAAAGTAGTCTTCAGTCACAACGGTGGTGAACATGACGATGATCATGAAAGAGGAAAACACGACTCACGTCATCATGTTTTTGCCAATGAATCCATAGCTTGCCAAAGAATTGTACCATCCAATTCTCAGTTTGCCTCTAGATTATTCAAGCAGATAACAGATATAAATCCTTTAGATAATATTTTAGTTTCCCCAATCGGTATTTCCAGTTCTCTTGCCATGCTTTCTAAAGGAGCTAAGTCCAAGACCCATGACGAGATCTTAGAAGGTCTTGGCTTCAACATTTCTGAAATCACAGAGGAGGAATTGAATTCTTGTTTCCAGCATCCTTTCTATGTCTTTAATCACCCTGATAGTGAGCTACAGCTCAACAGTGGTAATGCCCTCTTTATAGACAAACAGCTTCAGTCATTTTTAGACGATGTCAAGAGAAATTACGAGTCAGAAGCATTTTCTAGTGACTTCACAAATTCCGATGAAGCAAAGAACCAGATCAACAGCTACGTGGATAAGAGAACCAATGAGAAAATTCCTCAGCTGCTCAGCAGTATTGAAAATGACACAATGGTATTCCTTACCAACTTTATTTATTTCAAAGGTAAGGCCAAAACTGTGCTAATAATTAATTAGGAATGTATAGCCACATTTCAAATGTACCATTGTTTCACATTTGCACAGATTCAAAATATATGTGATTCATTATAAAACATAATCTGCCAGTCATTTCTCTGCACTGCACTACATTAACTAACACTACCCATTACACACTTAACCATACTGTACTACACAAACACTATTAACCCCTACAATACCCTAACTCTAATTATTAACTCCTTTGTTAACACTATTAACTACCTTAAGACTAATATTGGTCTAAAACAGGGTTGGCCAATAGGCAGATCCCCAGATGTGGTAGAACTACAACTTCCATCATGGGACTTGTAGTTCTACACCATCTGGGGATCTCCCTATTGGGCAGCCCTGATCTAAAAATATAGCTGTAATATAAAAGACGCATAATGATGAAGCATGTATTAAGGAAAAGTAATGCCTTTTTGTGGTTCTGGACACATTTATACACAACTTAACCCAAGTCTTGTGGTTTATAATTATGTCTCCAGAATTCTTCAATGGTATTGGTTTTCCCATAGTACACATTTCACCATTTTGTATTCTCTCTCCATTTCCATTGTGGTTTATAAATAAGTTCAGTGATTTATATAAATGCATGCAGCTATAAGTCTGCTTCCTTGGTCAGTGACATCACAGGAAGAATTTTGCCTCCGGAGTGTAAATGTTGCACATGTTACGTTGATGGACATTTATCACCTCCTCTCAATCTCTGGTAAAGCACAAACCATAGTCACTTGCATGTGCTTTCATTGTCTTGGGAGATTATTGTACGTAATCTGGTTCATAAAACAGTACTGTGAAAAGTCTGATAGCAACTGCAGTCATCATAGCAGCTGCTGTCATCTAATTCACCAGTTCTACTCATCATATAGCTGAATGGAACTGTGTCTGGGACTAAACAAAATTTAATCTAAGCATCTAATGTGATGAGGAATTAAAACAAAAACTAAGAAATTAGAATGAAAGGCACCTGATTAGTAGAACTTCTTCCTTGCTTGGGACCATCTACCTACTGCAATTGTAGAAACTTTAAATAAAAGTATTTTGTTTCCTTTTGTTATTAATTCATTGTGGTTAAATATTTCTAATCCATCGTTTAAATTAAGGATAGGCAACCTTCAGCGCTCCAGATGTTGGGGACTACATCGACCCTGATGCTATGCCAACATTATGGCTGTAAGAGTATTCTGGGAGATGTAGTCCGCAACATCTGGGGTGCTGAAGGTAGCCTACTCCTGGATAGACAATTAAAAACTAAGGGTTCCTTTATTTTACCCTGCATTTTTTTCTTGCCTAACACATAATTTAAAGGTTCACTATAGGGTCAGGAACACAAACATGTATTCCTGACCCTATAGAGTTAAAACCACCATCTAGCCCCCCTGGGCCCCTCCTGCCTCCATAAATATAGCAAAATCGTACTGTATTAAAGCCTCAAGCTGTAACTCTGCATGCTGTTTGCCTAAAAAAAAAACAAGCAGTCTGCGGACATCACCAGAAGTGGTAGCCTGGTCCAATCACAGTGCTTCCCCGTAGGATTGACTGAGACTGACAAAGAGGCAGATCAGGGGAAGCACTGTGATTGGACCAGGCTACCACTTCTGGTGATGTCCGCAGACTGCTTGTTTTTCAAACACAGCTCTGGCCAATCAGCATCTCCTCATAGAGATGAATGGAATCGATGAATCTCTATGAGAAAACTTCAGTGTCTGCATGCAGAGGGAGGAGATACTGAATGTTTGGATGCATTTTAGGCAGCCATGACCCAGGAAGGATCTCTAACAGCCATCTGAGGAGTGGCCAGTGAAGTTATCACTAGGCTGTAATGTAAACACTACATTTTCTCTGAAAAGACAGTGTTTACAGCAAAAAGCCTGAAGGTAGTGATTCTACTCACCAGAACAAATTCAATAAGCTGTAGTTGTTCTGGTGACTATAGTGACCCTTTAATATATATACATTGTACAATGAGATGCAATGGTAGAATCGGTAACAATGTATCACCCATCTCCATGTCTGCATTGCTACAGTTATTTTAAATATTAATTAGCTTTGCCAGTTTGGACACAATTTTTATATTTTTGTATTTTACGGGTGCTTAACTTTAAAGAACAGAAACAAATCAATTTTAATTTGTTGAACTGTGACATAACAGACAATTCTGTGTTTTCAGGGCACTGGGAAATGACATTTAATGAAGAATTTACTAGTGAAGGAGATTTCCATGTTGATGAGAACACAGTTGTGAAAGTGCCGTTTATGAGGAGAACCGGCATGTATAACGCATTACAGTCTGAAAACGTTACGGTGGTGGAGATTCCTTACAAGGGCAATGCTTCAGCTGTGTTTATCTTACCAAAGGAGGGAAAACTCCGACACATCGAACAGAATCTTCAGGAATCAACAATCAAAGCATGGAAGAGCAAATTCGACCGAATGTAAGAAATTTACTGCATTCATCATAACATGCCATAGACTTTTATTGACATACTTCCTTCTACTTATACACTAAGAATAACAAACCAACACTTCCTATTATGATAAATATAGTCAGAGCAAAACACAATTAGTATAGCTATAATCAGGGACTTACAATAAGAGAGAAATTAAATGGGCACTCTAATACGCAAAAAGCTCAGAGTAATGGTACCCTTGGCAGACCCAGAGACTGCCCCACCTTCCGCCAGTTAGATAAGTTATACAATCTATACTTCTGAATTATCAATATCAATATTTCCCAAGATGGATGGCAGTCATAGACTGAGGATGCTGGTTTAATCTGCCTCAGCGCTTCTGGTGTATGTACCTTGCTTGTTTGGAATTTGCATGCCCCTCTCCATAAAGTGTGATTAAAGGGGGACACCTGCCCTGGGTTACAGCTGACCTCATTCAAATGTACCAGTTTAGAGATTATCTGTGGTTAAATTTCAAGCGTATTGGCTCCATGAACGATCGCTGTACTTACAGACAATGGCGAAATGCATGCACAAAACAAACAAAAATGGCAAACGCCCAATATTTATGTGAACAGTTTGAACAACAACCTATCAAACCCAAGAAACATTTGGAAAATCATAAATCGCATACAAACCCCCACAATTCACTCCCAACCCTCCACTGTCAAAATGGATAACCAAACACTGCAACACCCCCTAGATGTAGCACATGACTTTAATAATTAATTTGTTGGATGTGGTACCACCCTGGTTGCTAAGATAACAAATAACACTTATTTTCATACCACAAATAAAGATCAGGCCCTGCCAAATCTTCAAAATCCTAATGTAAAGAAATTAAATTTTAGACCTGTGTCTGTTAGTGTCGTTAATAAACATCTTAATAATTTAAAAATTAAAAACCAGTGTGGGTCAGATCAAATCCCAGCAGTGTTGCTGAAGTTCAGTGCGCCAGCAATTGCTAAACCTGTCACTACCCTTATCAATGAATCCCTGGCATCAGGATATATACCCAAACTTTGGAAGACTGCAAAAGTTGTACCTATCCATAAAAGTGGCGACAATACTTTGGTATCTAACTATCGCCAGATATCATTGCTCCCTGTATTGCCAAAAATCTTGGAAAAACGCATCCACATGTAACTATGTGAATATTATCAACGACCAAATTATCTGACCGCTGATCAATTAGGTTTTAATCCAAATCACTCAACTTTGACTGTCCTCTTAAAAGCTTGCAATGACATCTAAATTGGCATGGAACAAGGATACTTAACTTAACTTATTGTTGAATGGGTAAGGCAGTGGCTGAGTGACAGGCAACAGAGGGTTGTAGTTAATGGAGTATATTCAAAGCTTGGACTTGTCACCAGTGGGGTACCTCAGAGATCTGTACTTGGACCCATTCTCTTTAATATTTTTATTAGTGATATTGCAGAAGGTCTTGATGGTAAGTTATGTCTTTTTGCTGATGATACTAAGATATGTAACAGGGTTGATGTTCCAGGAGGGATAAGCCAAATGGCAAATGATTTAGGTAAACTAGAAAAATGGTCAGAATTGTGGCAACTGACATTTAATGTGGAAAAGTTCAATATAATGCATCTTGGACGTAAAAACCCAAGGGCAGAGTACAGAATATTTGATAGAGTCCTAGCCTCAACATCTGAGGAAAGGGATTTAGGGGTGATTATTTCTGATGACTTAAAGGTAGGCAGACAATGTAATAGAGCAGCAGGAAATGCTAGCAGAATGCTTGGTTGTATAGGGAGAGGTATTAGCAGTAGAAAGAGGGAAGTGCTCATGCCATTGTACAGAACACTGGTGAGACCTCACTTGGAGTATTGTACACAGTACTGGAGACCGTATCTTCAGAAGGATATTGATACCTTAGAGATGGTTCAGAGAAGGGCTACTAAACTGGTTCATGGATTGCGGGATAAAACTTACCAGGAAAGGTTAAAGGATCTTAACATGTATAGCTTGGAGGAAAGACGAGACAGGGGGGATATGATAGAAACATTTAAATATATAAAGGGAATCAACACAGTAAAGGAGGAGACTATATTTAAAAGAAGAAAAACTACCACAACAAGAGGACATAGTCTTAAATTAGAGGGACAAAGGTTTAAAAATAATATCAGGAAGTATTACTTTACTGAGAGGGTAGTGGCTGCATGGAATAGCCTTCCAGCTGAAGTGGTAGAGGTTAACACAGTAAAAGAGTTTAAGCATGCGTGGGATAGGCATAAGGCTATCCTAACTATAAGATAAGGCCAGGGATTAATGAAAGTATTTAGAAAATTGGGCAGACTAGATGGGCCAAATGGTTCTTATCTGCCGTCACATTCTATGTTTCTATGTTTCTATGTCTAACTGGAGCTATTGTCCTTGATTTTGCCAAGGCCTTTGATACAGTAGACCATGGCATTCTTTTGCAAAAACTTAAAAGCTCAGGTATTGGTAATAATCCGCTAACCTGGTTTTGATCGTATGTTTCAGACCGATTGCAATATGTGGCCATTTCTGATAGCGCTTCCTTCCCTCTTCCCAAGGCCGCCTTCAACACGAGGCAAACGTGCCACTGCTGGGTGGCCCAACGCAGCTGCCCCGTTTGCCCTCTGCCCGCAACAATTTCTTTTGGGGTCACTGATCCCAAAATAAATTGTGGGCAGCGGATCCGCACACTATGGGGGCACATCGGGTGGCCCATGCACTTAGGGCCACCCAGTGGGCCTGTGTCAGCAGCGGCCCAGTCGGGCGCTGTAGCGCTTTAACAGCATGACCGGGCCCCTTGCTTTTCAGCAGCCGGCTGGGAGGAAGTGACAGCTGTGCGTCACTTCCTCCCACAGAAACAGGAGCCGCGTGGGAGGAAGGAGGACCAGCTGTTCCGGAGGAGGCCAGGCCGGGAGAGAGCAAGAGCTTAACTTCCAGCCACCCCAGCCAGCCCACTGGACCCCAGGTAAGCCACCCTCCAGGAAAAGGTAAGAATCTGGAGGGTGGTTATCAAATTTTCTGAGTGACTGAGTGTGTGTGTGTATCAGTATGTATGTATGTGTGTCAGCATGTCTGGCTGACTGTGTGTGTCAGTATGTCTGTGTGTGTGTCTGTGTGTGTGTATTTCTGTCAGTGTCTGTGTGGTTCAGTATGCCTGTGTGTCTGTGTGTGTCAATATGTCTGTATGCGTGTATGTCTGTCAGTGTCTGTGTGTGTGTTTCAGTATGTCTGTCTGTGTGTGTATGTGTGCCAGTATGTGTGTATGTGTGCTAGTATGTCTGTGTGTGTGTGTTTATGTGTCAGTGTGTATATATGTGTGTGTATCTGTATATAGTCATTGTGTGTATCTATATGTGTCAGTGTTTGCATCTGTAAATCTGCATGTGTGTCAGGTTGTGTATCTCTGTGTCTGTATGTGTGTCGGTGTATCTATCTGTAGTCAGTGTGTGTACCTTTGTATCTGCATGTATGTTAGTGTTTGTATCTGTGTATCTGCATGTGTGTCAGGTTGTGTATCTGTGTGTGTCTATGAGTGTCAGCGTGTGTCAGTGCAGTGGCGTACACATGACCCATGGGGCCCCGGTGCGAAAATTGATCCGTGGGCCCCCCCTCCATGCACGCGGGCCGGGCCGCAACACATGATGGTGGGCACCTGGTCGCAGAGGTTACAGGGCTGCGACCCCTGCGACCGCGGTATGTACGCCAGTGCATGCAGATGCACACACACTTAAAGGACCACTCTAGGCACCCAGACCACTTCAGCTTAATGAAGTGGTCTGGGTGCCAGGTCCAGCTAGGGTTAACCCATTTTTTCATAAACATAGCAGTTTCAGAGAAACTGCTGTGTTTATGAATGGGTTAAGCCTTCCCCTATTTCCTCTAGTGGCTGTCTCATTGACAGCCACTAGAGGCGCTTGCGTGCTTCTCACTGTGATTTTCACAGTGAGAGCACGCCAGCGTCCATAGGAAAGCATTATGAATGCTTTCCTATGTGACCGGCTGAATGCGCGCACAGCTCTTGCCGCGCGTGCGCATACAGCCGACGGGGAGGAGAAGAGGAGGATCGGAGGAGGAGAGCTCTCCGCCCAGCGCTGGAAAAAGGTAAGTTTTACCCCTTTTCCCCTTTCCAGAACCGGGCGGGAGGGGGT